AAAATAACAACGATAATAGTAATAAATGATAATAATTAATAATAAATAATAACAATAATGGTAACAGATTATAATAAAAAATAATAAATAACAACAATAAATAATAATAAACAACAATACCAACAAATGATAATAATTGATACTACTAATAAATAACGACAATAACAGTAATAAATGATAATAAACAATAATAATAAATAACAACAACAATAATAGCAATAATAACAATAGTAAATAATATTAATAAAAACAACAATAATAGCAACAATAATAAATAATAATAATAGCACAAGCGAGCAAGAGAGGCCAGACTGGGGCTAGAGAGGCGGCTCAGTGGTCAGAGCACCGCCTGCTCTTCCCAAGGTCCCGGGTTCGAGTCCCGGAAAACCACATGTAAAATGGGGTCCGGCGCCCTCTCCTTACCCTGTGGCGGGGGCCGGTGCTGAGCTGGAGGCCCCGCGGGCTGCTGGGAGGTCGGGCGGCCCAGGGGTGCGGGTCCCGGGGACGGGGCCTGCGGCGGAGTGGAGATGAGAGGAACCGTGACCGCCGGGGCTGGACGAGGTCCCGAGTTCCAGTCCCGGCCAACGCGCGGCGGCTAGGCAGTAAAGAGCGCTGCCCGCCCACCCCGGGGTCCCGGGTTCGAGTCCTGACCTGGCTGTGGGCGCCCCGGCCCGGGGACACGTCCCCCTCGCGCTGCTGACGCTGCTGCTGCTGCCGCCGAGGCAGAACCTGCGACATCTTGTGGACCACGAGTTCGACGATCAGCTGCTTGTCCTCGTCCTGGTGGTCGCCGATGAGCGGCATGGAGGAGCCGACCACCTGCGGGGGTGGGGGGGATGGACTACGTTTCCCACAGTCCTCTGTGTGGGGGACTACATTTCCCACAGTCCTCTGTGTGTCCGTGGCCGGCAGAGACTACATTTCCCACAGTCCTCTGTGTCCGTGGCCGGCAGAGACTACATTACCCACAGTCCTTTGTGTCCGTGGCCGTCAGAGACTACATTTCCCACAGTCCTCTGTGTGTCCGTGAGAGACTACATTTCCCACAGTCCTCTGTGTGTCCGTGAGAGACTATATTTCCCACAGTCCTCTGTGTGTCCGTGAGAGACTACATTTCCCACAGTCCTCTGTGTGTCCGTGGCCATCAGAGACTACATTTCCCACAGTCCTCTGTGAGTGGCTGTCAG